GTTTCGCCGGCATTATTAGTGAGCCTTGTCAGTCCCTGGACCACACTACAACCCTTCAAAGAGACAATGGAGTCAATCATTTGACTAATTGTTTCCTAAACAGTTGTGGTATCTCTCTTATTGTCCTTGTGTATTAACATATTCTATTGTCCTCTTAACACCCCTTCACTATCACAATTTCTTACTTGCTTATCTAAACATAGCTCATAGAAATATTTTCAATTTGAAGAAAGGAAATCTCAAGAAGACCATAGAAGAAAAATCTAAAACCAAGACGAAATGTCTGCACTGAGCCTAATCAAAATTAGATAAACTATAACATTTGGGATTCTGCACTCAAGTGACTAAGGCATAGGAAAGTCATAGACTTGACATTATGGGTATTCGAGTGAGAGGTACAGCGGAGAACATAGCTAGTTGGCTACTAGTAGATGTGTTTAATCATAGACGTGACCACGAGATTTACTCGATCCTGGGCTTAGATAAGCAAGTAAAAATAGTGAAAGTAGAGTGGTGTTACGAGGATATAGAATAAGTGAGTACACTAGGACGGAAGGAGAGATACACAATTGTTTAGCAGACATCTGGCCAAAGGATTGACTTCATTTGTCTCTTTGACGAGTTGTGGTTTGGTGCTAAAACTAGCAAGGCTCACTGACGATGCCGGCGAAACGTCTGATAATGTACCAGGTCCATAGCCCCACTGACAATTATTATGCATACTATGGACTCCGGACCAGGTGCGTTCCTCTAGGTCTTGCTGCCAATATGACTAAATTGCGAAGGCAGATCAAACAAGTTATATACAACGAAAGGAGACCGCTACAATACTAAACACCGCATCATCTTGACCTTCATACCTTTGATTAAACTAGCGTATTTTGTCAGTATCCTTCCATTTTTGGATTTCTTTTGTTTTTCTTCCCGTGATAGGTCGCAGAATTATTGATTAAGCATGGTGCCATTGTGAATGTCACAGATCTCTGGCGTTTCACTCCTTTGCATGAAGGCGCTGCTAAAGGAAAATTTGAAATCTGTCGCTTACTGCTAAAGCATGGAGCGGATCCGACAAAAAAAAATCGCGATGGTCATATGCCTATAGATCTGGTTAAGGTAAACATACTTTTGCTTCTACATTTTTAACAGTTTATGTTGTATCTCCATGGCTGATGTTTTAGCACTTGGTATATGAATTAGATCGTATCTTAATTTTGCTGTTCTCTTTTAGGAATCTGACACCGATGTTTCAGATCTTCTTCGTGGAGATGTTGCCGTCCTAGAGGCTGCCAAACTGGGTAATCTGACAAAAGTTCAGCGTCTCATTACCCCAGAAAACATCAATTGCCGTGATTCTCAAGGTCGAAACTCGACTCCTCTTCATCTCGCTTCAGGGTACAATAATATTGAGGTATATTAATTATCAAAAATTTTATTTATTAAGTATACTGTATCTCTTTATCTATAAAATAAAAGCATCGGCAATTCAATATAAAATAATTTAGGCTTTGTATCTACTAGTCTTTGTCTCCAACTGTCTTTTAGTTTGGACAATTTTGGCCTTACTTTTCCTGCCTTTTTTATCGAATTACATTTACTTGTGGTTTAAGCTTATTCGCATTTTTGTTCAACTTTTATAAATTTCATTCTGAATTCTCGACAACAATTAGAGCCAAATAAAGATTTGCTAGTGGTTTAGAAATCCACTCACTACATATCTAGTAATTCCATAGTAATTACGATTATGTATTATCCAACCTCGTCCATTATTTATTCTTTAATATGGATTAGGTAAGGTATCGTTTGCCCTAAAAATCACATCTGCCCCATAATCCATGTACACCTATGGCTTACTGAAGTGGTGACTTATTCTCAAGTTCTTTTAATTTCGTTTAATAAGGTGGGTATAAATGAATTGCAACTTGGTTTTACCGGACATTGACGGAAAATTGCCTTTAAGGCAGAATAACTAGGCTCACCGTCCTATGATCCGGTGAATGGTTTCTCAACTTCCTTCCGTCATATTAGAGCCCAAAACCATCGTTTACGTATGCTAACCAAAATCTTGACTCCTTAGTATATCAACCTTTTTAATCTTAATGAGACATTCCATGATTTGGTTGGTTATTTCATGTCT